CATTTCAAATGCCTTTCTTCATGGCATTCTTGAAGAAGAAGTTTATATGCATCAATCTCAAGGTTTTATTGATGCTAATCATCCCTCACTTGTCTGTAAATTGCACAAGGCTCTCTATGGCTTAAAACAATCTCCTCAAGCTTGGTTCTCCACCTTCTTTTCTTTTCTTCTTTCCTATGATTTTGTCCATAGTCACTGTGACTCTTCTTTGTTTGTCAAACACACCTCTACTTCCATTACTATTCTACTTGTTTATGTGGATGATTTCCTACTCACTAGGAGTGATCCTCTCTATATCTCTACTCTTGTTCAGCATATACACTCAGCTTTTTCTATGAAAGAGTTGGGTTCGCTCAACTATTTCCTTTGCATCTCTATTGCCTCTTCTCCTTCAGGTTACATTTTGTCTCAGCAAAAATATGCTTATGAAATCTTAGCCAAGGCAGGGATGAGTGATTGTAAGCCAAGAGAACTCTGATGGTGGGTTGTTTAGCAACAGGACTAAATGTTTCATGATAATCTACACCCTCAGTTTGAAGAAAGCCTTTAGCAACTAGTCTGGCTCTGTGTCTAGCAATAGAACTATTTGAGTTTTTCATGAGCCTAAAAACCCACTTGCAGCCAATAGCTTGTTTGTGAGGAGGAAGAGGGACTAAAGACCAAGTACCTTGTCTCTAAAGAGCCTGATATTCATCTGACATAGCAGCTTGCTAGGCTGGAGACTGAGTAGCTGCTTGATAAGTCTGTGGCTCATTGGAATCTGAAGATGCTACAGAAGCAAGAAGACAAAGGGAAGGCGAAGAAGCGACAGGACACTGACTCTTACTCTTGGATCTAGTGATCATAGGATGATAATGAGAAGAAGGTATTGGAGGAAGATCAATATAGAGAGAAGAAATAGGCACCTGAGAAGAAGCAGGAGCAGACAAAAGAGATGGAGCTGCTGCAGATGTAGGAGCAGTTGCTGCAGATAGAGAATGAGCTATTGCAGATGTAAGAGGAACTTCTGTAGAGGAAATATGTGATGTAGAAGGAAAAGAAGCAGTGAGAAGAGCTACTGGAGAGAAAATATGTGATGGAGAAGAAGCAGGTGTAGTAAAAACAGGCCGTGAAGCAGAAGAAAAGGAAGACCAGAAAAAATTAACTAAAGTAGAAAGAGTAGGGACAGAAGAAGAGCTAGATAAAGCATGTTGAAAAGGAAAGATAAATTCATCAAACACAACATGTCTAGACATATAGATTTTCTGAGTAAGAGGGTCAAGACACCTATAGCTCTTAGTAGATGGCTGATAACCAAGAAATATACAAGGAATAGGTCTAGGTTGGAGCTTATGAGAAGAAAAAGGCATAAGCCAAGGATAACATCTACAACCAAAAACTCTTAAAAACTGGTAATCTGGTTTGTGATGAAAGAGGACTTCAAATAGAGTATGATTATTTAGTTTAAGAGTAGGTAATCTATTGATCAAGAAGCCTACAGTAGCAAGAGCATCAAACTAGTAAATCCATGGCATGGAAGAATGAGGCATGAAAGTGATGGTAGTTTCAATTAAATACATGTGTTTTCTTTCTACTACACCATTTTGAGCAGGTGTGTGAGGACATGTTAACGGATGAACAATGCCTTTTTGTTTAAGGAAGTTTTGAAAAGGAAGACTGAGATATTCACCCCCATTATCACTTCTCAAAACTTGAAGATGAGTAGTAAATTGTGTTTCAACAAAAGCCTTAAATTCCAGAAATTTGGAAAAGACCTCACTTTTATAATGAAGAGGAAAAATCCAAGTAAACTTGCTAAAATCATCAATGAATAGAACATGGTATTTATAACCAAAACAAGAGGCAGAAAAGGGACCCCAAACATCAGTGTGAATAAGGGCTAAGGGCTTGTTAACAGTAGAGTTAGACAAGCAAAAAGGTAACCTAAGACTTTTAGCCACACATCAATGTTCACACAAAACAAAGTTATTTGAACTATGTACAGAAGAAGAATTCATGAATTTATTATGTGCCAAGACATGCTGAAATTTTTTGAAAAGAAGGATGTCCTAGTAAAAAATGCCAGTTGGGAGCAGTAGGCTACCTGGTACAGGAGAGGCAAGCTAGTGAAGAAGAAGAAGATGCAGAAGAGGATGAAGAAAGAGGATAGAGGCCATGAGCATAAGGACCTCTATGCAGCACTTTTTGAGTAGCCTTGTCCTGAATCAGAAAAGAATGGGCATCAAAAGTAACAGAACAGTTGTTGTCTTTAGCTAATTGATGGACTGAAAGTAAATTTGAAGAGATAGAAGGAGCATGAAGAATATTGTGAAGTTGAAAAGGAAATGTAGGTGTAGAAAGGAGACCATTACCAGTATGAGTGATAGGTAGAGTGGGGCCATCACCAACAGCAACTTGGTCTTGTCCAGAATAGGGGTGATAAGAGGAGAAATTAGTGAGATCATTAGTCATATGACTAGTTGCACCAGAGTCAAGAAACCAGTTTGAAGAGGATGAAGGTGCAGAGGCTGCAGATGAAGATGAGGCAGAAGCAACATAGGTTGTAGGATTGCTTTGAGTGAAAGAGGATTGATGTGGACTATTCTGAAAAGAGGAGTCCATTTTGTACCAGCAGTCTAGGGCAGTGTGATTTAGCTTTCCACAGATCTGACAAACCAAGGTATTAGGATTAAAATTGGACCTTCCTCTATGATATTGACCACTGCTTCTGAGAGAACTACCATGCCGTGAACTGCCTCGAAACCTACCACCACTTTCTGAACCTCTGGAAAAATCTGAACCTCTGCCTCTAAAAGAACCTCTGTGACCTCCTCTGTTTTCTCCTTTATAGTTCCCTCTAGTTGTAGAATAGGCAAATGGAATGTCGGAGGTATGAGATTGTTTAAGTGAAGAGTCAATATGAATGGACTCTGAACACAACAAGGAAGGCAAATCTTCCATGGAAATAGGATCAGACCGAGCTCTAATGGTGGACTTGAAAACATTGTATTCATCTGGCAAACCATTAAGAACTAAGAGAACCAGATCTTCATGTTCAACTGGTGTTGAAGCTAGAGCAAGCTGAGCCGAAATAGATTTAAATTGACTCAAGTAATCTTCCATTGTTGAGCCTTTTTAACAATACGACTGAGTTTATTTTTCAACTGATGAATGTCAGATCTAGAAAGAGATGTAAACCTTTTGGTAACAACAGACCAGACTTCAGTGCTAGTCTGACAATGAATGACAGATGTGTGGATAGATGAAGACAATGTAACAGTGATGTAACTCAGCAAATGTGAATCAATGGTGATCCACTGTGTGTAATCTAGATTCAGAACTCTGGATTATGCGAATCAAGCATAACAGAAGATGGACACATTGTAGTACCATCAACAAATCCAAAAAGCTTCATAGCTTTCAAGATGTTATGGATTTGACTCTTCCAGATAATGTAATTGGTTGAATCAAGCTTTGTAGGCACAAAAGCATTCAGATTTAAAATCAATTGTGTAAGATTTGCAGGTAAAGAAGAACTTGAAGGTATAGGGTTTGGACAAGCCATAGAAATATCTCCAAGGATCTCTGCTCGCAAGAGCTTAGGGCTTTGATACCATAAAGAGAATTTGATCTTTCTATTAAACACACAATACAGATAAAGAGAATTTGATCTTTCTATTCAACACACAATACATATAGATTTATAATGACTTATTTATAGAGATAAGCTATCTTTTAACTATAACTCCTAACCACTTAACCTAACCATTACTACAATCCAACTCTAGTTCTAACAAACTAACTACCAAACTAACAACCTGCAAGCCTTTAGTTGAGCTGCAACTGTCCTGTATCTGGTGTAGGCTGTTGCAGCTGAGGAGATGATGAATCAGCTTTGGATGGATACTGTTGCAGCTGAGGAGATGAGTGAGGAGATGAGTGATCATCTTTAGGATGCTTATCAATAAGCTTATGGCATTACGACAATGAGAAAAAGAGAAAGCGACAAAGAAAAGAGGCATGTTGTGGAAGAATAAGAGAAAGAGAGCAATCAAAAGAGATAAAGTGAGGCAGTAGATGTGAGGTGGTGGGTATTGGTAGGAAAGATAGAGACTGATGAAGTGAGGCAGTAGATGTGAGGTGGTGATCAGCTTTGGATGGCTACTGTTGCAGCTGAGGAGATGAGTGAGGAGATGAGTGATCATCTTTAGGATGCTTATCAATAAGCTTATGGCATTGCGACAATGAGAAAAAGAGAAAGCGACAAAGAAAAGAGGCATGTTGTGGAAGAATAAGAGAGAGAGAGCAATCAAAAGAGATAAAGTGAGGCAGTAGATGTGAGGTGGTGGGTATTGGTAGGAAAGATAGAGACTGATGAAATAATTAAGGCGGTAAGGTAATTTGACATATTAGGTGAGGATAATTTAGTACTTTTATATTTTCAGTTAACCCTGTTGAAATTCAAACTTTAATAGGAGAATCAGTGTATAATTTCTAGATTATAAAGGAGAATTTGAATTAGTCATGGACCTCAAGGGAGATTTTTGGAATTTACCCTTTAGAAAAAAAAAAAAAAAAATCATACTTGAGCGTTGATCACGCTTTTAGTGGTTTGAAGAGAGCTTATTTCTAAGAAGGTTTCCCTTATTTTTTATGGGAAAATTGATTCTCACAATTGAAATCCACGCAATGGCGTTGGGAGTGAATAGCAAATATATCGTCATCTCTTTAAAAGCATATAAAATTTTGTGGCAAATTAGAGTAGTATATCATTAGTTCTATTACATTTTAAAATATGTGATAGGCTTGTTATTTTAGACAAGAATAATTAATAAAAACTCACTTATCAAAGTTTGTGCTAGTTTGTTGATTATATAATCACTTATGTGTCACAAAACTATTTTGTGCTATTATTTTTATTTTTATTTTATACTAGAAATACTTAATTCAAATGCCTTTGTTATTAAATTTGACATTTCCTTCCATATGCCAACAAGTTTAATTTGTTTTGTGACATACAGTTAGCCAAAATTTGCAGGCCATGCTTTGGAAAGTCCTTGAATTATTAGGTAATTGACAAGAAACAAAACTTAGTTAAAATATGCACCAATTCAATTCTTTTTCTTGTTGATTATATACCTTCAACTAAATTTACTGCATCTTTGAGTTCTATTATTGCAGTGCCTCACATAAAGCATGTCCAAAAGCAAAAATTGATGCACCTTCAAGCAATTCAACTAGTTAAATGCTTGTGTGAGAAAATTAGATCTTCAAGTGACTCAAATGCTTATGAATCACTTTGCAAGCATGTAATCCTTACAGCTGCAAGGTTAGGGATTCATGAGGTTGTTGAAGAGATTATTGAATCATTTCCTAGAGCAGTCTGGTCAATGGACGCAGATAATCATAACATATTTCAACTGGCTGTTATGTATCGTTGTGAAAATATTTTCAACCTCATTTATCAAATGAGTGGGTATAAACAAACTGTTATGATGTTAATGGACGATTCTATGAACTCTATACTGCACTTGGTTGGACGACTGGCACCTCTTGATAAACTCAATCTTGTTCCGGGTGCAGCTTTGCAAATGCAACGTGAGTTACAATGGTTTAAGGTAATAAATATATTTCATGAATTATTTATTGAATTATTTATGCAAAGACTCTTAAATTATTGAGAAATATCACTTTGATTCTTTAAACTATAAAAATATATAAATAGACTCCCTAAATTATTGTAAAATTTCACTTTAATCCCATAAACTATAAAAGCATATAAATGGACATCCTAAATTATTAGCATGTTGCACTTTGACTCCGCTCCTTGTTGCACCATGAGTTAAACTACATTTTTAAATATTTTTTAGATGAAAATACTTTTCAGCACTGTATGTATTTACAAACTCATTATTGCCCACATTTGATGATCGTGTACACTCACGCGCATGTCGGGTGTATTATATTGTTTTTTAAAAATATAAGTATTCATCTATTATTATTGCTCTATTATTATTTTTTAAATATTTTTTGTAATTATATTTTTATAGAAAGAATATATTTTTTTTAAAATAGTAATTAAATAGAAAAATAAGGAAAATTAAGAAATGCAGTTGGGTGTCTTATATAGTGTTGAAGGGTATTTTCATCTAAAAAAAAATATTAATGCAGTAATCGAATGAGTCAAAGTGAAACACATTAATAGATTAGGGGGTTCATTTGTATTCTTTTATAATTTAGGAGTCAAAGTGATACTTCTCAATAGTTTAAGGAGTCTATTTGTACACTTTTATAGTTTCTGGGTCAAAGTGATACTTCTCAATAATTTAAGGGGTCTCCATAGAAATAAATCTTATTTACTTACAATAATGCTATGGTAATCAAACATGGATAATAAATTTTGGATATCTAATGTGTCACCAATCAATTGGTATCAAACAGATGTTATTTAAAACAACACTACTGGGACCCCCCGTGGGGGTAACCCCAACACCCCCACCTCCACGTGGGGGGCTGTGAGAGCAAGCCTTAAAAAAAAATTTTTTTTTTGCACCAATCAAAAAACAGTAGGGGTGGTGGGGGTCACCCCACTGAAGGTCTAAGTCTTTTTCCTATTTAAAATTCGATACCTAAATTGATTATCGTCGCATTAAAGTCTGTCGCCTTTATTTGTGAGCATGTGCATGTTTTTCATTTGTAGGAAGTGGAGAAATTTGTAAGACCATGTTACAAAGAGATGCCAAATGCAAGTGGTGAAATTCCTTCAATGATATTTACTAGAGAACACAAAAATTTAGTAATAGAAGGAGAAAAATGGATGAAAGACACTGCGAATTCCTGCACAATAACAGCAGCACTCATTGCCACTATAGCATTTGCAGCTGCAATAACTGTTCCAGGTGGCGACAATGGCACAAGTGGAATTCCAATTTTCTCCAATAACAAAGCATTTACTATCTTTGCCACTTCGGATGCAATCTCTTTATTTACATCCACTGCTTCTCTATTGATGTTCTTGTCCATCCTCACTTCACGTTATGCAGAAGGTGATTTTCTATATGTTTTGCCTATGAGGTTGACAGTCGGCCTTGTTACCTTGTTCCTCTCCATAACAACCATGATTCTGGCCTTCAATTCCATACTCTATCTTTTGTTTTGCAAAAATGAGGAACGGATACTTATTCCAATGGCTACATTAGCATGCCTACCAATTACTTCTTTCGTGTCCTTACAGTTCCCCCTCCTTGTAGATCTCATCTCTTCAACATTTGGCCGTGGCATTTTTGGCAAGCAAAGTGATCGGCCATTTTATTAGTTACCATCACCAACAAGGTGAAGAATTCCAATCACGTATCATTTTTGGTTTCTTCAATCAAGGCTCATAGATATATGAAAATTCTCTGTTCTTGTCGTATATCATTACTCTATAGAAGTCATTCTCTAGGGGGGACCCAAATATAATCGTATCTATTATAAGTGTGACTTGAAATCTGTTGCTACCTTTTTATCTTGAGAATGTCCTAAACTGTTAGATAACTATAATTAAATCCATGAAACTATTTGTCAATTATATGTTTAAATCATGAATTTTGATAGGAATTTGAAAAAAGAAAGGAAAAGAAGAAAAACTAATTCATTTCATTCACATTTACTACACATTTTCCTTTACTAATTTTTTACTAAATTCATAATCCAAACACAACTTGCCTTAGTACCAATCTAAATACAACTACATTATTGGTTTGACATCGATGTTAATAGATTGAGTGATACCATCATAGATTTGAAAATTAAATTATATTTTTATTTTTTATTTTTGTGTAATGAATAATAACATGCTGTAGTAGACAATGAGGAAATTTTTATTTGCACTAGTAACCACATGGACACTCTTCAATAAAATAATAAGGAAAATAACTTTATATGGACTAGGAACCACAATGATTTATTTAATTTTAAGATAGAATTCAAAATTTATTTATTTTTTTTCATGGAGAGAATTGAAAATGCTCTAAAAAATATATTGAAATACAATATTTCATTATAGGATCAAATTTTTTAATAAACTAAACAGATAAATTGACATAGAAAGTAACACCTCTCTCTCTCTATAAATTGATAAACAAATATTAGTGTTCAACAAATATTTTACAAAACAATTTACTAATAAAAGAAAAAGAAATATATTTGCATACAGTCTCATTCACTAGATAATCACAGATCCTACCATCATCACTTGCCACCCAATTTACGGGGGGAAAAAAAAAGAAAAAAAGAAAAAAAAAGAAGAAGCGAATACAATATTTTCAAAATCATAATTAGAAAACTAAATAATGCAACAAATAAATGAAAAACAACAAAAATATTAAGAATTCAATACCTTCATCATAAATTAGTCAGATTTGAAGAAAGGTCCGCCAAGTGCGCTCTCAATTGCAAGCAAACCTGTGTCCTGTTGAACACGGTGTTGTTGTTGTTGTTTTTTTTTTTTGGTGGAAAGCCACCCCAAAATTTTTTTTTTTTTTTTTTTTTTTTTCATTAAGTAATATCATCATTCATAAAGTAGCTTCTTTTAATAAGGGCAATTATTTGTACACTCCAACCAGCCAGAAAACAATCCCACATAAAGCCCGCCTCCCTTGTTAGTGCAACGTCCCTTTCCCTTCTTTGTAATACTCTCAATTTCAAAAACTCATCCAAACTCAAACTCCCATTGTTATTGGTGTCGAACACGTAAAATATCATATCAACCACATTCTCCGTGAGAGTGATACCAAAAACCATGCAACCAAACATTATCACTCTGTTAATATCAATTATGAAAAGTTACGCTCAAATTGATTGAAATAAAAAAGAAAAAAAGCATGGTAAGTTTATTACACGATACACAACACTTTGGAAATCGGGCTGTCAAGAGCCATTCACTTTCCCATGACTGAAGATTGCGAGGGACAAGGAGCATAACCTTTTACGAAGCTTTGCCAAATTCTTGATTTCTTCAAGTGTAATTCGTCTGTCTCTGAGATTTGGTTCATCGTTTAATTTTTCAACACAATCAAGAAATTTGTTATGTCAACAGATGCAACCACTGACAATTCCAAATCTTTAGCGGATACGGTTCCTTGTGACTTGTAGACATAATGAGCAAACTCCAACCGCAGTATCTACAAAAGTTTAAAAGATATAGATAGTAATTATTATTATGAACATGAAGTACCAAAAAAACAATGATATGATTGGTGAATCATAAAATTCCAACTAAAAATAAGCATTAGTGGTGTCCTTGTTAGACCCAACGGTATGTGTAAATAAAATGTATAATTAAAAAATAATAAAATAAAATAATTATATAAATTAAATTTTCAATTAAACGCTTACAGAAATTAAAATCGAGACTGGTATTTCGCCCTCGCTCTGGTGCTTTGAGGTTTAACCGGTGTCTACTTCCCAAGATGCAACGACTAACACTTGAATTTGTAGCATTACAATATCATGTCTGGCGAACCAAAACTCTGTTGTGACTCTTTCTCTTTTTCTCTAAAAATTAAATGTAGAACAGATGCAGAAATGTAGAGGACGAATAGAAGAAGAAAGGAAAGAAGTTTGGAAAAATTTTGATTCCATAAATGCTGGAATGGCAGGGTATAAATAGAAAATTTGGTGGCTTTTCCGAACAGGTGCCAACAGATATAAACCTGTTCAGACAGATTCAATAAGCAAAAAACATGTTTGAACTGTTTGGACAGATACAGATCGATCTGAGAAAGAATTCAACAAGTATGAACCTGTTCGGGTCGGTTAGGATCTGTTTGGATGAAGGAAAAAATTTGGACTAATTTAAATTGAATTTTGAAACCAAAATTAAAAAAAAATTAAATTACAAATGTTTTTGGCCCAAAAAGATAAGTATTGGGCCGGACAAACCCAACCCAACCTCACACCACGCACCCGGGCCCAGCCCGCTCGGACGGGGTGCTGCGGCGGCGGCAGCGTCGCGCGTGTGTGGTTTTTGTTTTGGGTCCAATATGTCTAGTCCACTTTACCCATAACCTCACTCTTTCACAAACTTGGGTACTCCTTGGGGCCCATCCCAAGTATCCTACGCTAAGGTATATAAACCCATTCAAAACCTTAAGCCTTTCTAATATGGGACAAGCACATTTCACAAATGTGTAGGAAACCCACCTAAAGCAATTTCACGAACTCGAAAACGCGCGTTGAATTCTCATTCATCCGGAAATGGTTTTGAGCAACCAAATATACGATGTTATTCACTACGAGGCATTAAACATGAACGCAATGAAAAATGTTAAAAATAACTCTTGGGTCCCACCTTAATTAATGCTTAAAGTTTGCAAAAAATAAGGATTTTGGAAAGCCATTTTCCAACAATCTCCCACATAAATGGAATTCACAAAAACAGACATGCAACAAGATGTAGACAAAGAAAGAGTACATTAAGAAGATACACTACATCGAGATTGGTAGCTTTTAACTTTGAACCTCCTCTAATGAAAGCCTATCGGACTTACTAGCTAACCAGTGGACGCGGTGCCTTGAACTGTTCAGCTATTTGTGTAAGCCAAGACAATAGACTACACATATTGTATCTACAGAAATAGTTTGGTTCTTACGGTTGTGTTCATTTTGGCCCTGAACAACGCCTGGTAATTCATGAGTGCTCTAGAGAATTAAGCCTTTTCAATTCTCACAGAATCGGCCCAGTTCACACTCATATAGGTGACTTCCTATTAAGAGTATCCTACCACACCCCACTTGGATGTCCAAGTTATAAGAATCATTAAAAGCAAAGTTTATTCTACTAACACTGCAGGTATCACTCTTCTTATCATAGAAATTGACAGAAGAAAACCTCCTTAGTGATACGTGAAGTCATCCATAATTCGGTTGTCCCTTTGAACCTAGATCTTGGGATCTCCAGTCAACTAGGTTAGGTTGCCATTATGGCGACTTTTAAGTAATAGGTTTTAATTCCATTCCCCTCGATAAATGGTACACTTGCTCTCTGGCTAGCCCTTTAGTCAATGGATCTGCAATATTCTCGTTTGACTTTACATATTCTATGGAAATTATTCCATGTGAGAACAAATGCCTAGCGGTATTATGTCTTTGACGAATGTGTCGAGACTTACCATTATACATATGATTTTGTGCCCGTCTTATTGCTGCTTCACTGTTACAGTGAATGCATATAGTTGGCACAAGTTTAGGCCACATTGGAATGTCTTCTAAGAAATTAAGAAGCCATTCTGCTTCTTCTCCTATTTTATCTAATGCAATAAACTCATATTCCATTGTCGACCTTACTATGTATGTCTACTTGGAAGATTTTCAAGGACTGTAGCACCTCCCAGAGTAAAGATGTATCCATTAGTGGATTTTGAATATTTAGTATCCGATATCCAATTTGCATCACTGTAACCCTCGAGTACTGCTGGATATTTGGTATAATGTAATCCATAATTCTGGGTATGTCTTAGATACCTAAGTACCCTAATTATTGCTTTCCAATGATCGAACCCTGGATTACTTGTGTACCTACTCAATTTGCTTACAACATAGGCTATATCTGGCCTAGTGCAATTCACTAAGTACATCAAGCTTTCAATTATTCAAGAGTACTCTAATTGTGATATGCTTGCACCTGTATTTTTTGGCAAACGAAGACTAATGTCAACAGGTGTTTTAGCATGACGGTCGTCCTGCTTTCCAAATTTCTCCAGAATATTCTCAATATAGTGGGACTGAGATAAAACATATCCTTCAAATGTTTTAGTAATTTTTATTTCTAGAATTACATCTGCTACTCCCAGATCTTTAATGTCAAACTTTTTGTTTAACATTTTCTTTGTGGATTTAATCATGTCATTATTGCTTCCAATAATAAGCATGTCATCCACATAAAGACAAACATAGACTCATTTGTCATCCACATAAAGACAAACTATGGCATAACCTTTGTCTGTGCGTTTAACATATACTCATTTGTCATATTTGTTTATCTTAAAACCATCCAAAAGCATAACGTGATCAAATTTGTCATACCATTGTTTCAGAGCTTGTTTTAATCCATAAAGGGATTTGACAAGTTTACAAACCTCTTTTTTTTTGCCAGGAACTCGAAACCCTTCCGGTTGTTCCATTTAGATTTCCTTATCTAACTCGCCATTCAAAAAAGTTGTTTTAACATCCATTTGATGTATTTATAGATTATACAAAGCTACAATTGCAATCAACATGCAAATAGATGTTATTCTTGTCACTGCTAAACATGTGTCAAAATAATCAAGGCCTTTCTTTTGCCCGAATCCCTTAACAACAAGCCTAGCCTTGTATTTATCAATTGAACCATCTACTTTCACTTTTCTCTTAAATATCCACTTATATCCAAGAGGTTTATACCCTGGTGGAAGATCCACCATCCCAAATATGATTTTGCAGTATTGATTCAATTTCACTATTCACAACCTCTCTCCACAATGAAGCTTAAGGACTTGACATTGCTTCCTTGAAGTTTTGAGGGTCATTTTCTAACAGGTATGTTAG